GCAAAGTGCAAATATGCCCCTTTAGGGAATGAATAGAATTCCCAAAATTAAAAGGAAAAAAATAGTAAAGATTCCTGGAGAGAAGTCCAAAATGTAGTAAAATTTTTGGGATTAAATTGGGATACTGAGAGAGATTTGTTAATGTTAAAACCTAAAAATTACAGTATGGCCCCAAAAAATTAATAAGAGAATTTTGCTTGCTGAAGTTTCCCAAAAAATTTTTATCCACTAGGTTTAGTGTCACACCTTACTATAAGAGGGAAATTATTAAATTTAAAGGGAAACATGGAAACTTAAATGTGCTTGGGATGAAATTCTACGAGGAATTCATTAACAGGTGGGATGAATTTTTTGGTGATTATGAGAAAATTTCCAATGTTGGAGTTCCCCGCCAGGTGGCCATTTCCCAAAAGGGAAAAATGTACTCCACATTTTTTGTGATGCTTCAAAAATTGGCATATGGAGAGTTGCTTACCTTCAATGTAATAGTGTTATTTCTCTTGTTATGTCTAAGGCTAAAGTGTCTCCAATTAAATCACGTACCTTCTTTATTTGGAATTTAAAGCCTTTATGTAGGTGTCAAATTAGCTAATTATATAGAAATAAATTGCAGGAGATAAATATTAGCGACTCTGTAATTTGGTCTGATAATGAGGTATCCTTACAATGGATTCGTAATGGAAACAGTAAAATTGTGTACGTACAAAACAGAGTTGCTGAAATTTTAGATGCAGAGAAGTATAATAGTTGGGTCAGCATATGTTAACATTTAATCATATACCTGGTGAGGAGAATCCAGCTGATTTCTTGTCTCAAGGTTTACCTTATGCTAAATTTGTAAATGCTGTATCATGGTTTAAAGGACCCAGTTTTTGGTAAATAAAGCTAATTGGCCTGTACAAAAGGCGTATATTGCTCCTGTTGAAATTACTGTGACAAACCCCTCCAATAGTTTGTCCTTCCTTACCATTGATATAAAAAAGGTATTCTTCTTTACCAAAACTGATCAATGTAACTAGTTGGTGTTTAAATTTCTAAACAAGATAAATATTTTATATAAGTTTTCACATCCCCTTTAATATTGGATAAAGAGGGTACGGAGGAAATCTTGGAAATGAATTAAATTGATGATGGAAAGAAAAATTGTGAAAGGTTCTATAATAGAGAAATTGGGGTGTATTTAGAGAACAATGTAAATTTGGTGCAGAGGTAGGTTACAAAATGCTGAATTGGGTGATTATGCTGAACACCCTATCTTACTGCCCAAAACTCATCATCTAACAAATTTGATTGTTCTAAATGCCCCTAAAAAAAGTAATGCATGGTGGGTACAAGATACCTTAAATTGTATTAGGGAAACTTTCTGGATTCCACAAGGACGGGGAAAGTGTAAAAAGGGTTTATTAAATCTTGTGTAATATGTCGCCGTGTGGAGCCAGATCCTATATGTACCCAGGTCCTCCACCATGCCAAAGGAGCTGTACAATTAGTGAAACCATTTGATGTAAACAGGTATAGATATAGTGGTCCAATTTAAATTTTTAAAAGGTACATCAAATGGTGTTCCACTGAAAGTGTATTTTTTGTTTGTTCACCTGTTTCTGCTACTGGGCAGTTCATTTAGAAGTGGCACAGACTTGTCTGCAGAACAGTTTATACAGCTGTTTCGAAAATTTGCAGCTAGGAGATCCTGTCCGGGTTGATGATTTAAAATAATGCCACAAATTTTGTAGCAGGTGCTCAACACTTGATAGAATTAAATATAGTAACGATGTTCAATCTTGTTTTAAACCCCGCGAGGGTGTACCCGGAAATTTATTACTACTAGAGCCCTTGGCAGGGGGGGTTTTAGAAAGACTGATAGGCACAGTGAAGAGGTGTCTCCGCAAAGTACTACACCGGAAGAGAATTAATTTGGAAGATTTCCTGCAGTGTTAGTGGAGGCAGAAAATCGTGGTAAATAATAGGCCTCTCTCGTACATGAATGATACACCTTTCTGCAGATGTATTAACGCCTTCTCAACCCAAAATGTGGAAGGAAATTGGGAAACTGCCTTGTCTATAGAGATAATCCAGAAGAAAGTGATAAAAATTACAATGCTGCGGCAGTGTTGTGTTAATAAATTTAAAATGTTTAAAAAAAGTAATTGATCATTGGTCTAATGTGTGGTGTAAGGAAAATCTTCTTACACTAGTGAAAACTTTTATGGTGCACAGAGGCAGTAAATGGCAGAACCCTTCAACCCAGGTGACATGTGAAAGTGGTTCTTTTTTGTCGTGGGCCAGGAGAAAGGTTTTATGGCCCCAAAATTAAATATAAATTTATTCCCTTGGAATTAGGTGTTCAATCAAACGTAAAAGAAAATCTGAGGAAAGTGACACGAGTGATATGGAAGATAAAGCAGACCAAGTGATGCCGAAGATGAAATCGTAGTAAGACCTACTAGGAGAACAGCCACTCAAGCCAGAACTGGCTGGAATCGTCTCCCAAGGAAGGAGTAATTTGAATCGTTTTGCAACGAACTCCAGCCGGCCGCATGTGGAAAATACTGTATATATTTTCCAGAAATTCAGTATTTATATGTAAATAGATGGGCCCTTACTGTATTTAATAATATTTATGTCATAGAAAACGGAAAGCCTGCTTTTGGCCCGGCGAGACTTGCCATCTTGGTTTTGAAATTTTTTACAAACGTTGGTGTAATGGGAAGAATTTTTTTGTGCTCTAGAGGGGTTAAAATTGTGTTGACACCTCTCAAATAGGAGGCGAAATTGTGGATGCATTCCTGCATAACTTGAGATATTGACGACTGGACAAGACAGCTCCAGGAAAACCCCAGATAAGCTCTCTAGATTTGTGTGTAATTCTGGCCAACATTATTTTCATAGATTTAGTTAGAGTGAGGTTTTCTGAGTATGATACACATTAATCTCCAGTCAAATTGGTGAGTGATATTAAGATATATTTTCCTTCTGTTATGTAATTGTGTATATATATATAACCATTTATTATTTTTAATATACAGTCCACAAATTTATATATTTACCAGTATTCTGGTGTATGTATATTTCATTTAATTAATAGGTCCAGAGCAACTTGTGGTTATGACAGTGATAATTACTGTATATAGGTTATGAAAGTGATAATTACTGTATATAGGTCCTACCAATATTCCAACCTATAGAGAACCAGTAACCTGAAAAGTATCGTCACTAACTTGGCATCACTTGTTTTGAAATTTCTAGTTATCCAACCTATCATTTTCTTGATTTACGATGATAACGTATATAATATTTCATATATAACTATATAAAGAGTTATAATGCGCTTAACACACATTACGTTATGTTTCCCATTAAAAAAAAAGTCAAATATTGTTATGTCTCAGAAGATATTTTTATGGTCTCAGACCGTATTGTTATGGTTTCAGACCGATAGTGTTGTGGTCCAGACCCATATTGTTTAGTCTCAGACCGATAGTGTTATCGTCTCAGACCGATATTGTTATCGTCTCCGACCGATATTATTATCGTGTCAGACCGATATTGTTATCGTCTCAGACCGATATTGTTATTTCTCAGACCGTATTGTTATCGTTTCAGATCGATATTGTTATCGTCTCAGACCGGTATTTTTATCGTATCAGACCGATATTGTTATCGTTCAGACCCATATTGTTATCGTTCTCAGACCGGTATTGTATAGTCTCAGAAGACGATATTGTTATGGTCTCAGACCGATACTGTTATGGTCTCAGACTGATCAGCAGGGGCGTTGACCCCCCAATCCTTCTCCAAGTATACTACAGGTATACTCCAGGTATGCTTCCTACACTGTGTGTGTTTCCATGAAATAAATTGAAATTTTCTTCTCTCACTTGTCACTATCATTATCAAACCTCTTGTCACAATCATTGCCATCCTATTGCCCAATATCATTATCACTACTGTTTCAATATAATTATCAATGTCCCCTTTTGTCCTTATCATCATGCCTGTCGCTGTCATTATTACCACTATTGTTACTAACAGTATCAGCACTCTTCTCAGAATAACTATTATATTATTACCACTATTGTTACTAACAGTATCAGCCCCTCTTCTCAGAATAACTATTATCATTATTACCACTATTGTTACTAACGTATCAGCACTCTTTCAGAATAACTATTATCATTATTACCACTATTGTTAATAATTATCACCCCTTTTTCAGTATATTATCATTCCCCCTATTGTTAATAAATATAGACTCAAAAAACTATAATATTATCACCACTATTGTACTACATATCACCTTCTTCTCTCTATTATCATATTCCACGTTAAACATATCACAAATTTCAAAAACTATCATTATTACCCTTTTTTTCTTCAATCAATCTT